AAAATGACTTCTTTTCTTTTGGGTAGATACTCAGTAGGTGGATTGCTGAATCAAATGGTAAGTCTTTATTTATTTCTTTGAGGAATCTCTATACTGTTTTCCATAGAGGTTATACTGTTATGCAGTTCCACAACAGGGTATAGTGTACAAGTCTCTCTATATCCACGCTAGCATGTTTTTTTTTTAACTGTTGAATAATGGCCATTTTGACAGGGCTAAGGTGGCATCATATTGTGGTTTTAACTTGCATTTTCCTGATGATTAGTGATATTGAACATTTTTTCATATATTTGCTGGCCATGTGTCTATCTTCTTTTGAAAATCATCTGTTCATGTATTTTTCCCACTTTTTAATGGGGCTGGTTTTTTTTTTTTTCCTTGCTGATTTGTTTGAGTTCCTTATACATTCTGGATATTAGCCCTTAATCAGATGTATGGTTTGTGAGTATTTTTTCCCATTATGTAGGTTGTCTACTAACTCTGTTGGTTATTTCCTTTGCTGTGAAGAAGTTGTTAATTTAGTTAAATCCCATTTATTTAGTTTTGTTGTTGCTGTATTTGCCTTTGGGGTTTTATTCATAAAATCTTTGCCCAGACCAATGTCTAAAAGAATTTTTTCTAGGCTTTTTTCTAGAAATTTTACAGTCCCATGCCTTACATTTAAGTCTTTTATTCATCTTGAATTAATTTTTGTACATGGTGAAAGATACAGCTTCTCTTTTAGTCTTCTGCAAGTGTCTGTCCAGTTTTCCCAGCACCATTTATCTAATAGAGCTTTCTTTCCCCAATGTATGTTGTTTTCTGCTTTGTCAAAGATCAGTTGGTTCCAGGTAGATGGTTTTATTTCTGTGTTCTGATTCTATTCCATTGATGTCTGTCTCTGTAATACATACTACTTTAATAACAGTACTATGCTGTTTTGGTTACTATAGGCTTGTTGTATAATTTGAAGTCAGGTAATGTGATTTGCTCTTTTTGCATAAAATTGCTATGGCTATTTGGGTTCCATTTTGGTTCCAAATGAAGAGTAGGCTTATTTTTTCTAGATCTGTGAAATTTAACATTCCATTTGGTTGGAGATTGTGCTAAATCTGTATAAAACTCTGGACAGTATGGACATTTTAACAATGCTGATTCTCTCGATTTATGAGTATGGGATATTTTTCCATTTGTTTGTGTCATCTGTGATCTCTTTCATCAGGGTTTTGTTTTTCTCTTTGTAGAGAACTATCAGCCCCTTCGTTAAGTATATTCCTAGGTATTTCATTATGTTCGCAGCTATTGCCAATGGTATTGAGTCCTTGATTTGACTCTCACCTTGACTATTATTAATATATAGAAGTGTTACTGATTTGTGTACATTGATGATATAATGTGAGATTTTCCTGAATTTCTTTATCAATTCTAGAAGTTACGTGGTGAATGTTAAGGGCTTTTTAGATGCAAGATCATATCATCAGTAGATAAGGATAGTTTGACCTCTTCTTTCACAATTCGGATACACTTTATTTCTACCTCTTGCCTGATTTCTGTGGCTAGGACTTCCAGCACTGTGTTGAATGGAAGTGGTGATGGTGGGCACCCTTTCTTGTTCCAGTTCATGTGGGAAATGCTTTAAACTTTTCTCCATTCAGTGGGCCATTGGCTGTGGGTTTGGCTTATATGGCTTTATAATTTTTAGGTATGTTCCTTCTGTGTCAGTTTGTTGAGGGTTTTTATCATGAAAGGGTGCTTGATTTTATCAAATGCTTTTTCTGCATCTACTGAGATGATCACATGGTCTTTGTTTTTGCTTCTGTTTATGTCTTGAATCATATTTATTGATCTGCATACATTAAATAGTACTTGCATCCCTAGGATAAAAGCCATCTGATCATAGTAAATTATCTTTTTGATGTGCTGTTGAATTCAATTTGATAGAATTTTGTTGAGAATTTTTGCATCTAGGTACATAAGGGATATTGGTGTGTAGTTTTCATTTTTTTGTTATAGCATTTCCTGGCTTTGTTATCAAGGTGATACTGGCTTCAGAGAGTGAGTTAAGGAGGAATCCCTCCTTCTTGATATTATGAAATAATTTCTATAGGATAGGTATCAATTCTTTTCTGTAGGTCTGGTGGAATTTGGCTGTGAATCTATCTGATCCAGGGCTATATTTGTTGTAATTTTTTTTATTACTGTTTCAATCTCACTGCTCATCATTGAACTGTTCAGTACTTCCATTTCTTCCTGAATCAGGCTTGGAGGCTGTGTGTTTTCAGGAATTTATCCATTTCCTCTATGTTTTCTAGCTTGTTTACATAGAGGTTTATGTAGTATTCATGGATGCCATTTTGTATTTCTGTGCTATCAGTTGTAATGTCTCTTTTTTCATTTCTGATTGAGTTTACTTTTGTCATTTCTCTTCTATTTCTGGTTACTCTGGCAAGTGTTCTATAAATATTGTTTATCTGTTCAAAGAACAAACTTTTTGTTTCATAGGTTCTTTGTATTATGTTTTTGGTTTCCATTTCATTTAGCTCTCCTCTGAGCTTTGTTATTTATTTCTTCTGCTGGATTTGGGCTTGGTGTGCTCTTCTTTTTCTAGTTCTTGAGATGTGACATTAAGCTGTTAATTTCAGATCTCTCTGTATTTTAAATGTATGTATTTAGGACTATGAAGTTTCTCCTTAGGACTACTTTTGTTGTATCCTATACATTTTAAAAGTTTGTGTCCTCTTGGTCATTCAATTCAAAGAATCTTTTGATTTGCATATTAATTTCATCATTGATTCAAGCACCATTCAGCAGCATATTAATTTCATCATTGATTCAAGCGCCATTCAGCAGCAGGTTGTTTAATTTCTATGATTTGTTTAGTTTTGAGTGCTTACCTTGGAATTGATTTCTAGGTTTACTCTATTGTGTTCTGAGAAGGTACATTGTATAGCTTCTCATATTTTTTGTGAGACAATTTGCTTAAGTTGGTAGTAATAATATCAGACAAAACCAGACATAAAATTTTAGGGTAGCAGATTTATTAAACATTATGACATATTGCCTCCTTAAAAATAACTTTAACAAATGAAATGATGAATTGACAAGATTTTTGTGGCAAGTGATATTTCTCCATAACAGAGAAGGTCTCATATCCAGCAAGCAAAGTAAAGCATTTCTAATAATAGAAATATTAATAACAGTAATAGTTCTATGTATTGAACACTTATTCTATGCAAGCACTGTTAAACACTTAATATATAATATGTATTTAAACCTTAACATAACCCTAGGAGGTATGTACTATTATCTTCATTTTGCTATTAAAGATACAGGCCCTATGAGGTCCAGAAACTTGCCTAAGGTCACAACTAGTTAGGAGTAGAGCTGAAGTTCATCCTCAGGTTGCTCAAAAACCGACAGTGTCATACTATATGACTAATCTATCTTCTTTTCTATGAGGCAAAAAGACTTAGTCTATATGTTGATAGTATAATTTTTTTTTAGAAACATACAGGCAGAAAGAAAGGAAAAACAAAAGTCCATAGTATCATCTTTGGCACTTTTCCATAAAGTACATTAGCATGTTAGTATAGAAACAGTTGTTGGCAAAAGAAATATCTAAGCTCTACCTTGCTTTCCTGTCTCATTTAGACAGTTAATTCATTTTATCCAGTCTTGAGCAAATTCTCATGGTGCACTAAGCTGTTTTTATGAGCAAATGTCACAAAGTACACTTGAATACCTCCAGATTTTTTTTAAAAGTAAGATACCTTTTTACATTTGATTAACGTTGCTGCTACCTAAAGTATTAATCATGGCATTTGAAATTGATACAAGTGCAATCTTTTTTTTTTTTTTTTTAGATGGAAAAATCAGCTCAGAAAGGCCAATTACTTCTTTAATAGATCAGTTTTTTGACATAATAACTCACATCAATTTTAAATACTATCACATAAAGCATGGTGGAGAAAAAGAAATTTTGCTTCATAATTAGAAAAACTCACAATAAAACTTGCCAAGTAAAACAAAAACGAAAAAAGCCATTTGAAAATAAATACAGTCCATGCCAAAGTAGTATAAAATGAAGCCGGAAGTCTTTTGAAACCATTCTTTTCAATATTTTCTCTTTTTAACGATTTTCTGAAGTTGGTGAGACTTTCGAATTCAAGGGTTGCTGAGCTGTTCTGATTTGGCTCCTTTGGTATCTGTTTTTTCACCACTATTGTCCTTGGATTTTTCTTCTTCCTTAACATCGGCTTTTTTGTCTTCTGTTTCCTTCTTATCTTCTTCAATTCTAGCTTTCTTCGCTCCTTTCTTATGATCAGCCACATTTCTACGACCTCCTTCTCCTTCATCCTCAGAATCTGAAAATTCTTCATCACAAGCTATCCGCTTGTCTGATGCTCGAACTGACATAAAATATTTTATTAAATTTTGACAAAAAAAGTCAGGTTTTACAATCATAGCACACTCATACAAATGCACTAACCAGTTACCACATTTAGAAGTACAGGCTCACAGAGGCTCAATGATTGAATTAAATCAAAACTGAATGAATGGTTTTATTTCATACTGAAAACTTGGCTTTGATTTAGGAATCGTTCAAAAACATAAAAACATTTGGGGAATCTCATTTTGTTTTTTAAAAAAGCTAAAACTTTGGAGGAAAAAATTGTGTAGTAGGGCAGGGGAATAACATCTTTACCTAAAAAGTAGCTTTTTATTTCAGAGCTGAGAGGGAAAGTGGACAAAATTAAAAATACCATTAATACCAAATATGTTA